GGATGACAGCTATCATTCTTACTCTCTTCACATTTGTCCTCTCCTTTCTCCCAAGAATATCTTCCGAACACATACTTATTTACAGCTTTTGCAAATAACAGCGCAAGACTGACATTTGCCTTTTTAACAGCTGTCTACAGCAAAGCCAGTCGAGCTCTTGGCAATCCCTATCCCCTGCTGCCTGGAAAAGACACAAAGAATAGCTGCTATGAACATGGCTCTCTACAGCACTATCAAATAGTAAGAGAAGCTCAATTTATACTTAGCTAGGTTTCTTTAAACAAAGAAATTCGCATGGTTTGGTTTTAAGAGTTTTAAAGCCCTTAAAGCCACATACATTGAATTCCTGATCTGACTTTCAAAGCAAAATGCCTACTAATAATCACCTTGTTTTATTTTTTTATTGATACATGAATGTGGCAGCGTTAAGAAAACCGAAGCTAAATTTCTCTCTTCCTCCCTAAAATCTGGTGAACTGTAAAATTAATTTTGTCTCTGGCTCTGCTTGAAATTGTAGCTTATCAAAATGAACATGGAGAAATCATCGCTATAGCACGGTAAGTCAGAAAAGCAGTATTTTTTCCTTTGCAAAATACTGAAGACAGAAACAGCAAATTGAAATTAGACCTTTAATACAGTGAGAGTAGATTTAGCCTAAAGGAAATAATTTTATACATATTAATGATAAAAAAGAGTCTTCTCTAAAGAAGCCTTTTTTTTTTTCATATGAAGACATTAAAGTAAGCAATCACCTCTATCTTTGGAATGACTAGTTCATACAAAATACACTGTCATTTTTCTCACTTTCTGACTCTTTAAACAGTATCAATAAATAAATATCAGTAAGCTTAAAGTGGAATCCCATCGCTAAGCTACCACCATCCCTACTTTGCAGATAAGGACCTCAAAGCAGAAGGCTTCTCCAGGAACAGGCTACAATTAACTCAGCAGGAAAAAGGCAGTTTCGTGAGAACCAAAACAGGAAGGTTTTCAAACCATCTTGTCTGAAACCAATCATTTGGTTCCAGCACGCTTGACAACTGTCTCGCACGCAGAAAAAAAATCAACGTCTGGTGGTAGGAGTATTTGCAAGCAGTTTCTGCAGCCATCAAGAAGGGATTTCAACCTCTCGAAGCTTTCATATTGCTGTTTACTAGCGTGATGACTGCATTATATTTGGCATTACCTCGCAGCACTTCGAACCTTAAGGAGCCAGCACTGACACCCGAAAAATTATAAGACAGTGTGAAACAGACAACAAGAGCAAGTGACTACAGCCTCTGAGGGAATATTTTCCAGGGAAATGCTTTCCATAGGATGCAAGGGGTATGGCGAGAAGAGACTGAAAGTCCCTAGTTGTAGAATACACTTACAGGAGTGTGCTAGAAACGCTGAAAATGAAAACCACTGCAAAAAGTGATTAACTACTATTATCTTCTTTCCTCGGACTAGCTCACATTTCTAGGACATTCTGTTAACAGGAAAAAGTTTACTGTGTGTATCAAGCATGAAATATTTGAGTTGGACCATAATCAGTTTTTATTAAATCTCTTTGTTCACACAGCAAATCCTTAAATCAGCAGTGGAACTCATGATCGATTTATACAAAGTGCTTAAGAACAAGTGAAAAAGTAAACACTAATGCTCTAATCTAACCTGTGTTTTCAGTTGAGCCTATCAATAGCAAATAAAAAAAGTACACAATGTCTGTTCCGACTTCACAAAAAGAAATCTGCGTCCCACCAACAGTGCACGGGCACGGTAATGCATTTACTTCCAAATTTACAAACCCACGCGTGTCCAGAAGCATATGCTATACTGAAGTTTGACTGGAAATGCAAGCATGTTATCTAAATATCAGCCTAAACCATCTAAACACGGTAGAGTTTTGTAAGTGCTTAAAAGCATCTGCTTAAAATTGCATTTGCTATTTCACCCATTCTCCTCGATAACCTCTGGAAATCCTCTGCTCTTTCTGCAACCCTGTAACACTTTCCTGTGCAATCCTGACAGACTTGTCATTTTTTTCTGATTAAGCCTATAATTTAATAATTATTCCTTCTCACAGGTGAAATGAACAAAATGCTGATTGGACAAAAGCACATACTCCTCAGTGCTCTCACAGATTCATCGTTTTGACCATCTGTGTCCTTCTCGACTCAGTGCCCAGAAGTCATCTGTCACCAGTAACAGCTCACGTGCTGAACGGAATACGATGGGAAATCCTTTATCCCTTACCAACACCTCACGAACTTCAGGACGCTGAAGGGTAAGGCAGCAGTCCTCCAGATATACGGAAATAATTTCAAGGGAATACCATCATCAGTTTGACGTGAACAAGCAAACAGTATTATGTTTCGAATGACACCTTCCTTAGCTATGCCACCCATCAACGTGCACTGCGCTCAAGTGTATGCAAAAATCTATACTCAAGCAAGTAACAAACAGATGGGTCCTGGGCAGCAAGAATTTTATGTTCCTGAATAAAGCTATTATATACCGTACACATTACCCCAGACAGTTTGGCATAATCCACTTCAGCATGCCAATAGGCTAAACTGAAGTAACGACGATACGACTGACTGAGCACAAATCTAGAAATTTGGATTCTATTCCCAGCTCGATCACTGAAAGATTTGATCAAATCGCAGCTGCTTCCGTTGCTTTTCTCAGCTTTCAAATGGTCCCTGGAATAACGATCTTGGGCTCAGTAGTACAAGGTGGCTTGAGACAAAATTAAGCTTTACGGCAGATCGAGGAGTTTTCACCTCAGAGCGAGCTCTCAGTTTTGGCTCATCTGAATTTGGACATGCCCACAGTTCTGCTGCTGTTCATCCACACTGCAGAAGTGTCTTGCTGAGCAACTCTGGCACGAATCGCAGGCACAGCCATTTACCTGCTCTACAAGCTGGCAGAAGAGCAGTCAACGTAAGCATCATAAGGAAACGGCGTTCCATTTAAAATCTGGCCATATCAATCGGCGACTGCCTAATACCGTACGCTCTGTGAAGAGTCAAATAACGGCCCGAGATCATTCTGAGACCACAAAGGGTAAGTGCACTGCAGAACCAGCGTACCCTGTCTCTCAAAGGAAACTTTGGGAGGCACAAGCCACTACCAAACTTCCCAACAAGTAGAGCCTAGAGAACAAGATACTGTCGCAGTTTCAATAGAGGTCAAAAATTTCTGGCTCTTTTCAGAAAGCTTTGGAAGTAGTAGCTAAACGTAAAACGATTCCCTACAATTTTAGGAAATGTCCCTAAATTTAATTATATTGCAATGTAAAATTATCATCATATCTCTATACAGAGTACACCACAACTGCGGTCCACATCTGACCGGACTATGCTGTATCACTGAAAACAAAAAAGCTCTTATTCTGTCATGTTGCTCAAGCGGCTTCTAAATATTTTAACACACGAACAGTCATCTCTCGCTTGTATATTCAGCTTTGTGCCCAAATGTTGAACAACTGCATAAAACCCCTTTTTTCTGCCGCACTCTGTAGCGTACAAAAGCTCGCTGCAATCAAAGGGGAGCACTGCAGCGAGCACTGCTACACAGTCATTAATCCAATCATTAAGTCAGTGTAGTGAAACTAACTATGTGCATGGTTAGCACAAAAGGGGAAAAACCCCAGACTGATGACTACGATTGAAAAGGTCAATATGAAATACAATACTGACAAAGGAATTAAGCACAAGGAATAAAGCATATGCAGAATACCGCATCGCACGAGGACTAAATATTTACAGACGTTTAAACGCTGCTTAAGATGACACTATCTAAGCTACTTAAAACGATAAAAGAACTCTACTTCAAAATAAAACCTTTTTGTTCCATCATTTCCCTACCCACCAGCCAGGAAAAAAAAAGGGTATATTCCCACCAGGATAGAATAAATATGCGGAACTGAAGCAATGTAAATCCATTAGTCATTTCACGTGGCTTCTTGTGTTTGAAACTATGTCCTCCCCACACAACTTCCCTCCTCCAGGAAAACATCCTATCCACTTTTCCTCTAATTCATAGTAGCTTACTCCAACAGTATCACATCTTACAGAATAAAACTTCTTTTCCTCTATTCATAGTTATGCAGAAATTGGGACTTCAAGAGGGGAAAACAAATGCCCATAATGTGTGGGAAGAAGGAGGAAAGATTTAGCCTGTACTTAAGAATAAATAACCCCCTCTGTTCTTAAAATCACCATTAACTTGAGACCTTGATACCCCATCTAATGTTCTACTATTACCCAGACAGTAAATTAATGCCTTGAAGCTCACACTAATGGGAACATTCTTCATTTAGACGGGCAACTTTCTCATCCATGCATAGCTTATTCTAAGTCTCCGAGTTCATTTAGTTTCCCCCCTACCCCGAGCTAAATTTATTACAAGAATTAAGCACACCAACCTGAGCCTCCCTCTGCCAGGTACTTGTCCTTTGCATAGATGACAGAATCCAGCATTGACTCAAAAAGAAGAAAATAACCCTGTTTATAGAAAAGGGGAAGAATTTAGAAATCATTATGCTTCTTATGTAGCCTATTCAATCAATCTACTGATAGACATTATCGGTTTAAGAACTTTACATGCCCACACATCTCAGTAAGAGCCAGCACCCAATGAATTTCTCAACAATAGCATTGTCACTTCAAAACTTTAGTTACATGAAATATCATCTTTAATTTCCCAAACTGCAATTATCTAGCATCTACTAAATTAATTAACCATAGGCAATAAATATCCATCTACACCAACAATTACCCAAGAGAGTCCTACAACATCAAAAGAAATGAAATTCACCTTAAACCAAGTGAAAAGCTGTATGTATTTTTTTTTTTTTTTTAGTAATAACTCTGAGGCGCCATACAAAAAAACCCCAAGAATGTCCCTTCCAACTTAGAACTGCAAGTAACATTGAAATTATTGTCAGAGAAACATCAAATGGAACACATCATTGCTGCTTCACAGTTGTAACTTCATGGTGCCCTGTACCAGCCTGGGCAATGCTAAGACCAGTAAAAATAAATCATTTACCAAAGACATGGGTTCTTTGGATGTTCTACGTCATTTAGCAGCACCTGAACTTAAAATATTCTCAGGACAAAAATAGTCAGAACTAGATTTGTGTAGGTGTTTTTGGTGTTGGGATTAATTTTATAGCAGGCTAGTCATACTGCTTTAGCTGTTTAGAATAACTTGTTGTAAATTTAATGAAGTCAGGCACTTTCTGAAACAGAACAAAAAATTTCCTTCATTAAACATTTCTGAGATAGAAAACCATATAGCAGTACCACATACAATTAGCATTTTATATAAAACATCCAGTTTCAACTGCTTTTAAGGAAACTGCAAGTTTCTAAGAGATATATAGCCCCTGGTTTTCCAATTGATTTCCTGATTTTACACCCTTCCTATCTTTCAAGCCTGAGTACGATCCTTATACTTGCTGAATACCATAACACATTTCCTCCACATACACATTCTTACAACATTAAATCAATTAAGACAAATCATGACAGCATACATTTTGGATTTTCACTTAGGGTCCTAATTCTCTTTTTGCTTAAAAAGACAGCTTAGCCCCATGGCTTGATTTATACACTGACTGCAAGGAGGAAAGAACAAAAAAATAAAAAAGACAACTGGATGTCCAGACTTTAGCCCTGCAGTCTTACACACCCAGTCGGCAGTAACCAAACAAAGCAAAGCTAAGAAGATGTTTTTCCTTCATCTTTCCTACACTTCCACATTTGTACAATAATAGGGATTTTTATTTATTTATTTTTGAAGTCACGCAACTGAAGGTAGCATTGTATGCTAAGACCACCAAGTTTACTTCAAGTTTATGCCATCTCGGACGTTTATTTTGCTTAAGGCTCTTAGAAGAAAAATTGCTGCTAGTTCAGAATTGCTTATAAAGATCACCAGCCACACTGCAGCCTTCAGAACTAAAAACTAAACTAGAAAACCAGAAACTTGAAGCATGCCATATCTGCATTCAACAAGAGCAGTCTGAAGATAACAAACGTTCCCTTTCCTCAACCTGTTTCTTCTGGAAGCAGGACAGCGCTCTACTACTAGACACTTTTCTTCCAAATGTTGCCCGTTCTTCCACTTTACTGCCTAACTTTTACGAAGTCCTTAGAATAAATCCCAGAATGACTACTGCTTTGTGAGCAATACGATTTTTAGTAAGCTTTGCAAAACAGTTGAAAAGGCCAGGAGCTCCAGCTGCATCAGGCAGAGGTGATTTTACGCCTACAGCAAGCCAAAAGCACAGAATGGAACGAGAGTTTTCTTTTTTCATTCTTATTCTTGCAGTTTTAAAAATAGAATATGGTTCATAAAAATTCTTTTCAGATGCTTTTAACTGAAAATGAGTTGCTTTCACAGTATTTTAAACATGACCTCTAGGATGTATCCTAAGACTAGGTACCAGCAACAGTCAGTAAGTTACAAAGTGAGATTTTTACCATCAGCTCATCACTTATTTCCTCCTGCCTAAAATGCCCATCGCCTACAATGTCTACCCATCAAGTGCAAGTACTGCTGCAGGAAGACACACCTTCTCACGAGAAATACAGTAAAATTCTCACTGTCCTTTCCCTGACCTTTCCACTCTGGCATTGCTGGTTCTCCCCCCCCAATTCATTATAGCATTCCCGTAAGTTACATAAACCGTCAACAGTATTGAATCAAGTCATTTATTACTTATACCAAAGCCTTTTGCTCAGTGTGCTGTGCTCATCTGTAGTGTAATTTAGAATGTAATTTCACAGGCTGCTGCCTCACCTGTAGGGGTGCCATCTGGAAAGAGAATTATACCTGACGTCTTTTCCCCGTGATGCTGTGGGGCACTCTTGCTTCCACCCCAATAACGTTCAGGGGTTTGTTTTTTCTTAAGCCTGTATTAGCATCCTCAAAATTAATTACTGCAAAGAGATCTCTAGCATACAAATCTGTGAGCCGAATATTAATAATTCCATCTTGCTAGTGGCTAAACGAAGACATGTAAAAGGTGGCAGGTTCTCTGTCAAAGACAAAGTGAATACACAGCACATCTTAAATATTATGCTGTGATATTATGTGTTTTCGACTAAAAAGCTGGCCATTTCTTTCTCAAAACAAACATGCTCTTCCTTATTTTTATATTTTCAAAACTGAAATGAAACAGCTGTTCTCCAGCTAACGACAAAAACACACAGAAACAGAAACACACAGCACTATGGAGTCACTCTGTTCAAGCATACAGCTGTCCTACCTCACGTCCATCCAAGAAGTCAGTATCAGAAACCCATGAGCCCACCGACAAATCTGAATCCAGAGGAATGTGACAATGGCTACAATTCTTACATATCTCTTTTATCTGTATTTTGTTCGTTACAGAATTATAAAAGGCTTACAACACTTTGATAGCTTAGTATCCTGCATTGTTAAGTTTTCCTCTATTATTCAAATATACTACTGCACTCTAAAATTTATTTTCGTTTTAATTCACAGCTGCATAAAAATATTTTACCAATAAACGAAAGTGTAAGTATAGAAAGTTCTTTTAGCATTAGCACGTCAGTATTCATCACGATATTCTTCACGGAGAAAAAGAGATTAAGTTCTTTAAAGGCATCAAGATGCAAGAACAACACTGAAATTTAAAATATACCTGATTGTGTGGAGACTACTAAAGTAAAATGCTTTGCTTAAAACATAAGTTATTTCAGATTAATGATTTCTTCATGTACAATTCCCTCACCTGTTCCTACCAAATACCGGAGTGGAACTTGGCTTTGCCTTCATTTATTTTCTACTTATTGGTAAAAGCCATATATATTAAGAAATCTTTTCAAAAATTGGTACTAGCATGTTTACAATAGCAAGAATTAGCAGAAATTTTTAGTACAGCAGAAAAAATATGTAAGAGTAGAATCGAGAAGAAATATTTACCTACTTGAATAAGCAATGCTTTTCCCTCCCTGCCTTGTACCCAAGATCCATTTTATTATTTTCTGTAACATAACTGAACCTGGTCTGGTACTCCGATTCCTTAAGGGCCCAATATTGAATATTTAATGAGATGAAAGGCAGCTATCAAACCACTGGCCCAAAGACTGGACGTGTTTTTTAAAATCCCATCAGTATAAAAAAAATGCATTATTTTCTTAAACTGGAGTTTCTAACTACAAGGTTTCCATTGGATTAGAGAGTAAAACAAGTTACAGAGGGTACGTAAAACAGCTGGACAATGGATTCTGATTTATAACTTTAAATGTAATCTTGCATTACCAGATGCACAAAACCGACACGGCCCGCTCAATTTTGTGAAAAATTATGTTTTACTTGACAAAATCCCCCCAAAACCTGTGGCACATTTAAATGAGATATAGCAGCTACATGTAAACTCTTCTGCATGCTCTGCTGCAGCCACCGTTTCCCTCCCGTTAAGCCAGCCTTCATGCTGACCTCTCATGTATGATTTAATTTTTAAAAAAAGGAAATAATTCATTACTGACAGAGCAAGCCCACACATTTCAAAACCACAGCTTGACTTTGTTATTTTGCACACCCTGTTGTGTCCTTATACACATGTAAGGTGAGAACACCAAATGGGAAGATCTCAAGAGCAGAAAAGCGATACCCATTATTGGTTTTGGCAAAAAACCCCACAAAACAAAACAAAACAACTATGTATTTTCATGAAAGGAAATAAAGTTCTTTTATAAGAACCCTTTTGCTGTAAAAAAAATTAAAGCATTCAGCTACTTAGTACGCTCTTTACACAGCATTATTAAACACACAAAAAAGCTCAATTCTTATGTAAAATTTTAAGTTATTACTGTATTATGGAAATAGAACACTTGTACTAATGCACCTCCAAATGCTAATAGAAACAACAGAGAATATTAATGCTACAGAAAGGCTAGTAAGTGTTAAAAAAAGCATCATCACTGGGAAAGGAGAAAGGAGAGAAAAGATGGTTTCCAGTGCTTCAGACATGCTCACTTCCAGTCCTTTTCCCTGGATCCTGAATACCTCCCGTTCACAGCGCATCCTGACAGCACTGCAAAATTATCTCACACACACACAAAAAGATATTAGCTACCTGAGCAATGATACGATTAAGAGACAAGAGCCTCCGGATTCTATCCTTGGTTTATTTTGAGAGGCCATCTCTTTCCCAGCTTCTCCTTGTATAACATTCTATTGCATATTCATGATCATAAAGCACCGCATAAACCAGCCGTTTGTGAGAATGCACTGTACGTTCACACTGTATTCCAGACAACCATCTCAGACAATCGGCTCTCACAGTAAAACCCCTTGCAAATAAGAAATGCAGATGTTTTTCAAGTGAATAAAACTCTCAACCTCTAGCTTGATCATCTTAGCTAGAGAAAGGAAGTAAAAGCATATCGAGAAGACAATCTGCACACAGATGCAGCTGGGTGAGAACATTCCAGAAAAACATTACATACATTTTGTTTCTTTCTGCACTCGTCCTTTCAACAAGCAGCCTACGAAGTTTACAATTACAGTACCAAAACCCACGTGTGCAATAACACAGACACCTTTGGATGTTGATAGCAAATCTGATTAGAGAAAAACATCATTGTTTCTTAAAATTCAGAATCTCCGGGGAGAACGCACAAACGTGATCCTGCCTCAGAGCAACTCTACGGTGTATACAACTCCTAAGTACTTTCCCACCACCCATACAAATAGCGGCAGCACATTCAAGTCAAAATTCTAAACCTCCAATGAAATACGAACATTCGCAAGCCATTTCCAGGTCAAGTCGCTAATTGACAAGGGCCGTCACTCTTACACCAAGGTGCAAACAAATCACTGATGTGCGTTCAGAAATTATTTCCCTCAGATTGCCACCAAGCAGTGTATACAAATACTCAATTACTTGTACCTTTGCTTTGAAACGTAATTCATGGAAGTCTACAGTTTGAGTAAGGTACAAGATTTGCCTGTAGGTGCTCAATGGTAGAAGATGACAAGTAAAAAAAATAAAAATGTTAAGGTTGTACCTGTAGCCACTAACAATAATTTGTAGTTGCACAAATTAAAGCTTTTAGAAGTTTCAGAGATCAGAGCTCCAGGCAACCAATCCTGGACACAGAAATCTCTCCAAGGCCAGCAGTGAGATCTTATATAAAATTCACCTATTTTTACACTCAAATAACCTTTGTCCAAGAACTGGAAGACATTCTCCTTATAGAATCCATTTGGTTAGCAGAACAGGCTATTACTTGGCCATTCTTGTGTTCTTTCGTAAGGCAACATGGTTTATCGGGTGAAGCGGTCTTCGGTCCACCCGCTCTCCTTTGTGCTCCTGGCTCAGAGCACACCTCAAGTCCTTGAGTTGGCCTGCATACTCGACCCATGTTTTGCTAAAAGGAATGCATAGCTGTCTTCAGAGTGAAAAAGTCTAAGTAAATGGATTTATCTAGGTCTTCAGTAGTTTAACAGACCCTCAATCTTCAGCAATCTACCTGTTGGACATCAACAGAACAGCTCATCACACCTTCCACTGTCTTTCTCAATGGTTTGCATACTAGTTTTAGTCGAACACAATCACACAGACGCCCTGCTTATGGTCTGATTTTAACAGCGTCAAACATGCAGACTTCAGATGTCACACGCAATGCATTTAGTCAACGTTAAAAACAAGATCACTGCTAATTTCTTTCATAGGATTAAATAAAGCCACTGAAAAAAAGAGTTGCTCATCATTCAGCCTCTAGACCTGGAACATGACAAAAATGTAGCCAGATTAATTTAAAACAGAAAAAAATTATTTTGGAAGATAGTAAATACAGATTTGCAATATAATATGGCGCTCTCTATATATACACATACATATACACACTCACACATCCCTACCCACTGTGTAATATTTAAGACTTTCTCCCATTTATGCATATTATAAGGCAACAAATTTAAAGATGAAAGAGAAGCAGGAATAGCAAGCAGTCTGTGGAAGCCATAGGTCACTTAGACAATTAAGAGAACGATCACCAGTAGCCATTACGTTGGAGATGCTCATAATGCAACCACCATACCTTTTACAACAGACTGTCCTACGTGCCATCTTTCTCAAAAAGCCTGTTCTAGAAACATTCCTGGGGGATGCAGTATTTTTCCTCTCTCCAGACTCCACTCTGCTGCTTCAGACTTGTTTTAATTTTCTGATACTCCACATGTAGATCTAAAAAAACCTTATAGGGTACTCCTCTTAAGCACTGTTCTGTACCAAGCAAATCAAAGCTATGGCTCCACAAAAGGGTTTGATGTTTACGAGTCTAAAAGTAGTTTGTTTGCTAAACAGAACAGCAACTTTTCCTATTTCTGTTACAAAGAAAAAAACACTGTTCTTAGTAGAATTTTCCTGCTACTCCGTAAAGATTCTCTAAATAAAGAGCTGAAAACTGGCACTGAATTCCTGTTTGCTCTCACACTTTGCATTTCCAACATTTTCAAGCACTTACATTCACATATTAACAAAAGATTTCACACTGGTCAGTATCATGAAGGAAAAGAAAAAGCAAATTCACATCAGAAAGCCAGACAAAGAGGAATCTTCATTTGCATCTAGGCAACATAACGTTCCTTTCTGGACAGTGTTGGAACAGCGTGTACACTGTCCGGCTATCAATCTTACTTCCATAGCATTGTCTTCTTTATCTCTGTATTGCAGCAACCTATAAAAATGCTAACCTTCCTAAATATTTAGAATACCTAATTAAATGAAATGCACATGGCTATATAATTATGACATTAAAAGGTAAATTAGCACACAAATGGGAAACATGGAACATTCAATACTTCATTTCTTACAAGAGCTGCTTTTCGAAATCCTTTACTTCACCTTAGAGGCACTGATTTACAACACGACTTAAGTGCCCAAGTCGTTTTTAAAACAAAATCTTGGGCTCCAGAATGAGAAATGGGATTTTGGGAACATTATTCTTGGTGCACATATTAGGTAACTGAGCAGAAGTTTCTCTGAAAGGACTATAATGACATTTCTAGTGAAGTCACTATACTGTCAGAAATCACTAACCATAACGCACTATTTTTAAACCACTAGTTTAAGCCAATGACTTAAACCTCACTTGAAACTAATGACCTCAACACTAAATTAAGCTCGTGCTTCAAACAACATTCATTATAGCAGCAGAGGGAAAACTTTTGCAGATTTTCAGCACACTGAAATATGCATTATAAAAAAATCCCACAGAAAAATCAAAACAAACATTTGATTTCCACCTTTACCCGGAAACTAGTTAGACATATATGGATATATAGTGAACATGTGACCTCTCTCCCTTGTGAATAGCAGAACAGGCAGAGTTTGTAAAAAAAAAAAAGCAAACAAACCCCACAAAACCCAAAAACCTAACAAAAAAAAAAAAAAATCACACACCACCACAACAAAAACACAATCACCAGCCCAAAAACCCCTGACTTTGAATATAAGTTTTCATTACTGATCTTAAATTTGAAGGACAAAAGAATTTTTCTTTAAGTCCAAACAATGGGAATAAGCAGGGAAAAACCCTGTATTTTCAGTGCTTTTTGAAGGTCTGTAATACGAGGAGACTGAATAGCAGAAGTCCACAAAAAAAGTCACAAGGGGTGTGTTTCCTACCACATTTTTGACAAGGAACAGACTTACTCAGTCGCTATGAAGTTCAGCCTGGCACTGGGTCTTGTCACACAGATTTCTTTATTAGGATCAATGGCAGGTAGCAAGCCTAATTGTGTAACAGTTAACTTTATTTCATGTGCTGGCTGGTAACAGGCCAATGGCTAAAATCCAATGGATCGCAGGAAATGCCTCATTTACACACTGTACGTATACTGCATTATACTAACTACATAATAGAAACGTACGGCTGTACCCAAAGCAGCTCAACTGTAGAGAGCCTTGACTTGAAAGAGGCAGTCCACAAGAAGGATCAAGAATTGTATTCGAGTATCACATAATCAGGTCCGTCATCCCATCTCCCACACTGGCAAAGATACTGTTGCAAGCATGATAAATTTTTGGTTTAAAAAACCAGCATCGCTTAAAGAATAATTTTTCAAATTAAATAAAACAACACATTTTTTCCTGAAAATAACCACGTCTTGAAAAGAATATTCATGCACCTTACCATCCATTCAGATATAATGACATCCACTTTTTCCAAAGGCAGATCTACTTCTTCAATTCTTCCTTTGACTAATGTAATGATATTTTCAAGTTTATTTAATCTGCAAGTCACAACGTAAACAAATTAGTTTGCATTTTCAATTTATGCTGTCAAGAGAGATATATTGATGTCTATATTTTGCATTTCTTCCCCCAATAACATTTTGTTTAACTTATCAAAAAAGCACTAAAATGTAATACTCCTCAGTTATACTTCCGAGGCAATGTTTCCGAGTACCCAAAAACTGCAGCAGATTAAGTGCCAGGCAAAGATGGCAAACAGTAGATCTGTACACCTCTAACGTGCTGTGCATACAAATGTCTAAGCTTCAGAAACCAGAAAAATAGGGAAGAGGTCAATTTAAAATGATACTCCTCTTTATTTACAGTTGCTTGTTCCCAGTACTCCTCCTTTAGCCCCTGTAGCGTAAGTCGATAGCGATTAGAGCCCACTCATCACACTAGGACAGCTATGGAAATTAACTTCCTCAACAAAACTAGCTGCAAAGTCACTGAGAACAAACATGCCCTCTCGATCAGGATTCCAGTTATTCCACAACCAAGTCATCCTCCCCACTGCGACTTTGGCCCAAATCATCTGCAATGTTTAGCAGTTGCAGCAATTAGGCCTTAACTTATACGCAAGTAACAGTACAACCACCTTGTATGAGCAAGGTACAGTGATGCAACTACAGTTTTTGAAACAAAAACTGCATGACAGTGAAATTACTAAACAGGTAAACGCTTGAAATTTACTATTTTTCCTCTTGGCAAACCATAGGAGTCTTTCTTGCACGTACCATTATTGCGATAGCTATTCTTATAGAGGGCAGAAAAGTATTCCCACCAAAGAAATTTATCATTCCGCTGCAGTTCTTATCTCTGCCCCTTCCCTCCCTATCCTGATATCTTACTCTTACATTCTGTCTGGCTTTCAATGCAGACTAGTAATCACATTAAAAATTCAATCTAAAAGACAATGGGAGAAAGATCAGAATGAAGGGAGGGGAAGGAAAGGGTCAAAGGGCTACTTGAACATGTGGGCTGTTAGAAAGATCAATTAAATACTCTACACTCGATAGTCTTCTGTTAGAAGAGCAGCAGTTCATCACTAATATCATATTTAACGCTGTACAGAGCAGTAAAACCAGGAGTTCAAAGTGAGAAATGAAATGCTAAAGAGCTACCACCCACAACAATATTTTAAGGACAAAAAAGCAATCTAAGGATAACTTCCTAAATGACCACATACATGGACATGATTTAAAACAAAAAGAGAAGAAAAAGACCAATTCATTACATACTTGTTCTCAAGTGTAAGTTATAAAAAAAAAAATAATCCAAACCAATGTAGTTTACACATTGTAGCAAAAACTGCTGAGATGCTATTTAGGAAGTATATTTCAACTTCCTATTCTAGCATAACAGTGATGAACAACAAAAATCAAGTCATTCACTGCACTAGAAATTTTATGGGCAGCTCTTCACAGTAAGAAAAAGAGAAGGCAAGCATTTCGTTCAAAATAACTTTACTGCGTAACCTCAGAAAAGAAGCATGCCGCTCAGGTCACTTATTCCAGTTTACTTACATGCATGGGTTGCACTGTTTCTAGTAATTAGCATGCTAGAAACGAACCCGAGTTCTGGAAGGGACAGAAGCTCCTGCGCACATACTTGAATCACAGGCAGAAACACACCGCAGTAGTCATTTTTAAGCTACACAGAGTTGTTTAGTACTCCAATAAATATTTGTTACTCCATTACAAGTTTGTCAGCTTTATTCCTTTAGGAAAAGTAGGTTTAACAAGACAAATATAAATTGTTTTGATGCAAATTGAAAACTTTAATGTGGATTGAACCTTTTATAGCAGAAGGTATCTATAAATGTGTAGCCTTAGTAATGGTTCACTGTGTGCTTCAAGTGGCAATCCATCACTCTCAAGAGAGAGAGAGTTTAAGAGTTTTGATTTGTTGTTTTTCTTAAAGGCTTGCCCTTCTCCTCACCAAAGGTAATACGTGTTGGCTGATACCGATATCCTCCTCTAAGTATAAACAACATAAAGGACTTCTTGTGCACTTGTTGAAAGACATGAACAATCCTAAGTTTGTCATCTAGTATATTAGAAATAAAACACCATTTCACATTTGTAACCACCCTGCAGACATCATGGACTCCTGGGAAAAGTTCTCTTTAGAGAACAAGTTCTTGTGCCCTAAAAGCGTTTTGGTCGAAGTTGCACCTAATGCTTAACATGGTACTTTTCTTAAATAGGCATTTATTTAATAAATAATTTTACAGCATCCAAGCGTGCAGTGTTGCATCTTTTATGTGTGAAGCGGTATCTAACCAAAAACTTCTGCCTAGACAACCTTATTTCTGTACAATTTAAGCTCGCATAAAAACCATCAATCCCAAATTCCTCAGTACCTACCTTGACTTTCTTTTCCACAGTTGGTCCTACAAAAACGACCAAACCAAAAAAACCTGACACACCTCAGCTATCAACAATACACATTTTCACCTACATTTCTCCTACCTCGTGCTAGGAAATACTTCAAGTCTTCAGATGCCATTGCTTCATTTTTACATATACTCACAGTGTCCCACAAGATCTTCTATAGGTAAATTAGTGAAATGTGGAGCGGATAAATTAACCACTAGATGAGCAGAAAGCTGTGTAGATCATGAGGTTTAAGAGGTGAAAGGAGAAGTACAAAGTCTTACTGGTAGCTGGGAACCAGAGGTGTCCCTCAGGGTTCAGTGCTAGTTCTGATACTAATTAACACCTCTATTAGTGACCTAATGGGACAGAATGCACCCTCAGCAAGTCTGTGGGTGAGGACCCACACAGGAGAGCAGTTGGTATGCGAAAGGGTAGGGCTGCTATTCAGAGGGATCTCAGACTGTAGAAATGGGCTGACGGGAACCTCAGAGATCCAGCAAAGGCAAAGACGACAACCTGCACCTTGGCTGGAATAACCCCACGAAACAGTACAAATTGGTTCCTGCGGGTCAGAAATCAGGTCTGCTTGCTATTCCCACCCTGCCCCGATGAGGGATGGGGTGAACAAGTTGAGCCTAAGTCAGCCGTGTGCCCTTGTAACAGCAGAACAAGGAAAGCGATCTTACCCCTCAATTTGACACTTCCAAAACCGCACCTGGAGTACAGTTGTACAGTGACCAGTTGTGGGCTCCCCAGTACGAGCCAGACATTGACACACCAGAGCAAGTCCAGTGAAGGGGCCACCAGGATGACGGGAGAAGCTGAGAGAACTGGGTTTGGTCAGTTAAGGGATGGGTTTCTGATGTCTGCCTCTGTCTAGCGGAAGGGTGAAGAGAAGACAGAGCCAAGCTCTTCTCTTCTATCGCAGGGACTGGATGACAGGCAACAGACACAAACTGAAACAATGGATTGGGGGTTGTTTAGGTTTTGGTTGTGGGGGTTTTTTTGTTTACCTTCCCTTCCCATCCCATCCCCCCAAACTATAGACAATATTACAGTGCAATGGTAATCACATTCCAACTAGCATGAAAACCAGAGGTCAGTAAGTTTCTAAAGGAACAAAACAAAGGGTAATAGACATCTACTAGTCTCACAGAGTCCCTTAAATATACCAATGTGCAGAGAACCTTACTAGAGAAAGGTTTTCCACAAGTTAAAACTTAAATACCATATAATTATAAAAACAAGCTACATTACATCTTTTTATGTGCTAAAATTGGTAAAAATTAACTCATGCATGACAAGTTTTGTTTAAAAAACAGCATAGTTCCAACATGATCTTATATATACATTTAGATGAATTGAGTAAAAGTTGTTTAATTTTCAACACAGAAAAATAAATTTTCTATAAAAACGTCTGTATTTCTGTAGTTCTAATTTCTATACTTCTATAAAATACTTTCTATAAAGTTAATTTTCTATAACATAGAAAATTAAATTACAGAAATTATATCATTATTTAAAATTCCTATATAGAAATAAAAAATTAAAAAACTATACACACACATTTAAACAACTTTTACTGGGTTTATCTAAATCAGAACTGTTTCTTTAACTCACAGTAGTGCAGCCAGGAAAAGTTTCTCGCATCTTCTTGCAACATGTCTCAACCCTGATGTATGTTGTCCAAAGATGTACAATTTTATCACTACAACATTTAAAGCGTAAGAATGGAAAATGGACTGGCAGCAGTCAGGTGGAGACTGTCTGCAGCAAGGCAGCACTGGCCACATGCTAATATTAGGAGGAAGGTCTGGGAAACATCCTGCCTTAACTACACCCTGTTTTAATTACCCCTACACCAGAGGAGCAAACAACTTTACTGCGCATCAGAATCTGCGTTAATTCTTAGGACAAATAAAACACACTGAGTGATAGGTGATCATTAACTAGTAAGAGCATTTTAATAACTTTTTACAGCAGTATTTACCATACTTGGAACTTTTCCTACCTAATGATGTCCATGGCCTGATAGACGATTTCAGACTGGTCAACTCCAATCACTCTCTTCGCGCCTGCTTTGGCGGCGAACATGGAGAGTATTCCAGTTCCACAGCCAACATCCAAAACCACCTGAAACAAATAAAGGGAGGTAAAAATAAACATCTTATTTCCCTTGCTATGATTTTTCTCCACATCTTTCTACATCAGTGAGATACCATATCCTAACAGAAGGAACAAATGGTAGCATCAAGTCTTACTATTACGTTAGATATAGTATAGAGATACCCAAGTCAAACTGCAATTCTAACTCCGGATCTTCTGCTGCCTTCTACAGACAATGAAGGAGACTAGCTCCAGCCACAGATGAACTCAGTCACAGGGGAAACAATCACAAGCGAGTATTGGGGCAACAACTAAAAGTTACATGAATAGGAGAAACAGGAAAGTATAGCTTGAGCAATATTAATCAGTGAATCACTAACAATTGGATTTAGCACTGAAAAAAAACCTACTCTAACTGCAGTTTCTCATTAGGATTTTATTGATAAACTTAAATAAAGAATCCTCTGCTAGAAATGGCCACAGTGCCTCAAAACAGCTACGGCTCAAGATGACTGAATTTCAAAATGGTAACTTGGCACAGCTTTAACACTTGGAAATATTGTCTGTTTAGCACTACTTATAATCAAAATAGGACCAAAAAAATCCAGGAAGATGGGATCCCTAAGTTTTCATGGAAGTAGAAGTAGAAGTAGAAGTAGAATTCACTTGGAAGTAGAATAAACATCATCACTACTCGACATAGTAACGAGACTTACGCAAATGCTTGCTTTTGACATCTCATACATTAGCTACTGTAGGAAGATTGAAAGGCTTAAAAATGCAAAGCAACTCAGAAAATAGTACTAAATATATTAATTAGTACAGTGCAGCCAGCAGCACTGAACTTCATAAAGCAGAGATTTTACCAAGCAGCCTTGTTCAGGCCTCAGTATCATCACAATAATAGTATTTTTCTTCTAACAGCTAGAAACTTCTCAACAGCTTAAACACTTTTAGTCTTGAATGTCCCACAGCAGAATTTTAAGCTATGAGTTTCACATTTGCTGTTTTCACAAAAACAGAGAATATTTGAGGTTCAAAGGGACCTTAGTCCACCTCCCTGCTCAAAGCAGAGTCAACTAAGGCAGACTGCTCAGGACCACATTCAGATGGCTTCTGAGTATCTCCAAGGATGGAGACTCCACAACCTCTCTGGACAACCTGTGTCGGTGTTCAGTTGCCCTCACAGTAAAAAAGTGTTTCCTGATGTTTAAAGGCGATTGCCTGGAGCTCAATCTGTGCTCACTGCTTCTTGTCCTGTCCCTAAGCAGCACTGAGAAGAGTCTGGCTCCACATCCTTTACTCCCCCCCCCCAAAACCCAGGCATTTATACACACTGACCAGATCCCTCCTGAACCTTCTCTTCTCCAGACAAAACCACCCCAACTCTTTCAGCCTCTCCCGATATCACAGATGCTCCAGTCCCTTCACCATCTTTGCGGTCTTTCACTGAACTCACTCCAGGACACTCATCTCACTCTTGCACTGGGGAACCCAGGACTCGGCACAGCACTCCAGAAGTCATCTCCCTGGGGTACAAGAGAAGGTTCACCTCTCCTGACCTGCTGGTGACAAGTCATCTTACTAATGCAGCCCAGAAGGCTGGTTAGCTGTCTTTGCCACAAGAGTGTGGGTTGCTGGCTCACGGTCAACTTGGTGTTAACCAGGTCCCCCAAATTCTTCCCTGCAATGGTGCTTTCCAGCCAGTAGACTCCCAGTCTCCGTGGATGCGTGGGGTTATTCTTCCCTCTCCTCTGCCGGGTTTTGCGTTGCCCTTTGATTGCCCCGAGCCCTGTGCACAGGACCTTCGTGGGCCCATTTCTCCAGCCTATGGAAGTTCTTCCGAATGGCAGCACAGCCACGTGGTGCATCAAGCACTCCTCCCGGTTTTGCACCATCGGCAAATTTGCTGAGGGTACATTCTGTTGCACTGGCCAGATCATCAGCAGTCTTATTGTTAGATTTCTGCCTAATGTAATTAAGCTTTACTAACGGTGTTTAAAATTTCTAAGCGCTAAACCCAAAAACATTCTGAAATCTGAAAAATCAAGAAGTTTCCTAAACACTACATACAGTCACTCGTATCACACGTAGCACTTAAGCATTAACAAGAGTCAGAACTGTAAAGACAGACTTCCGTTTCCATACAAGAGACCTAAACAAAAGAGTAAGGACAACTTAAACAATTCTAAGACAACAGGAACATTGAGTCAGAATTACACTAGTCATAAAAATAATTTATTAGAAAGGAAAATTAACTTGTTTCACTGTCTCTCCTTAGCACAGCATCCAATGTTCTAAAGGCTGTCCTCACCACTTTTATGACTTTTTTTTTTCCAAAGGTGGCATCAAATCACTCAGTAATCAATCCCACACTTGAGAATTATAACCACATTTTAAAAAATATTTCAAGGCAATGATGCACCTACTGACAAACATTTTAGCTTATGAGCTGTTGAGCATTCTTGCTCTGGCACAACAAAAACTTGCATGTGTACTTTTAAATTTCACCTGACAGTATCAAAGTAAATACTTCAATGTTCTGCACGTTAGGTCTGCTTGCCTTCCCTTGCATACATTTTTTTACATTCTGATGATGGATACAGAACAATGATTCTGAAGCCAGCAGGAAATAAAATAGCTGTTTATTCTTAGCAGCACAGTATAAGTCAGCTTCTGCTCTGATGTACTGGGAAGCAATGATTGAAGAGTTGACTGTCACCTGTCTTGATAGAGCAACTTACAATCTCAAATCAGACTAAAAATTATTAGCGTGATGAATTTTTTACATCTTGTGTAGAGGCTGGCCACAGGAGTTGTGGACAGAGTTACTTGTTCCACTTGGAACTCTTTGCAGCTACGTTCCAATTCTGCAACTCACTCACAAGTTAGATATGAGTATGCAATGGCTACAGAAATCCCCAGGCTGAAGTCTTCTGGAGACAGGAATAGAAAGTAAAAATCAATGTTCTCGCAGCTGCTGAAATCTCATGCCCCCCTAACATCATCTATTCTAACACTTCACCCGTGGTAGTTAACAAAATTGCTGAGCCATGAAAGCTGGAAGTCAGAGCCAAAAATAAACCTCTGTGAAAGAACGATTTTGATGTATAGTTGCATGAAAGAGAGCAATCACCACAAATTGGAAAAAAATCAGAACAGACACCACTTTGGACAGCTGCCCTGGTCACTTAAAAACCCAGATGGAACTCATCTAGCCTTAGGCAGGGGAGAGGGGTGGAGAAAAAGGCACGGCAGAGAAAATATACAAGCTGGAACACATCTGAGGAAGGGAAAGACAAGCAGAATGATCACCAATTAGCCTAAGGACAAGGGTCTACAGCTAACACATTCTTGCAGTGATCACATATGGCCTCTCACCAGAGATCTGGAGCAGCTGGACTAGCGATTTGCCTATACCATAACATACCCCAGCATCGCATCCTTCTCTGTAGTCTTATCAAAAACTGATATTCTATTTTCAGCAAGAGAAAAAAAATTATTTCAAATTCAGAAAAAAACAGGAGGTCAGGTAATTTGGCCAATTAAATTAATTCCATCAATGAATTTTTAGTAGGAACAATGTTTAAAACCTCAATTTTTTCCCCCTCAATATAGCACTGATGACCGCCTCAGACTTCTACAACAAAAACTAAGCACGGCAATAGAGTTTTTCTAACCAATCGTTTTTCCACCAAAAAATACTCTCGCTGTAAAATAGATTACATTTCCATTTACTGAGTAAGGCCGCCTTAACTACTCCTGCTAGGTAATTTAAATTGTCCTATTTTCATCTCAAGTGCATCTGACAGGTTGAAAATAAAGTCAACAAGCAAGATTCATTCAGGTTTTAATAATTTCTTTAGAAAGCTGAGAGAGAACAAATGGGCTAGTTCTGAATAAAGCATCCCTAATAAAGAAAACCTAGGTAATTCTGTTATCATGTTACCCTACAATCACACCTCTTTGAGATACTGCAGATTTGCATCAAAAGCTAGAACCATCAATTAAGCTCTTTCAACAAGCTCCTCCCAACCCACCTCACAGATCTCCTTTCACAAACGACAAAAAGCATCACCATGTACTTTCTAAGGAGAAATACCATATGGGAGTTCTAGGAAATACGGTATCAGACTTCTACTCACTTCTTTATTTTTTAAATTGTAATCAAACTTTAAGGGAAAACAGCCTACTTCCTCAAGTCGGAAGTTTCAACTCATGAACACGGTTCTGAGAGCATCATACGATACATGAATTAAGCAAACCATCTTAACAGTTCCTTCAGCAGGGGTCTGTAACAGATGTCACTTCAAAGCTAGATCTCTGAAAAAAATCCCATATATTCTCCATAACAGCCTACCAAGTGAAAGCTACATCAACATTTAGTCAGACACAGAAGCAAAGTGGGACACTGGTCACCTGGATAGAAGCTGTTGGGAACTCAAAGCAACTGAGAATCTTCCTTTCCCATCAACTTCAACACACTATGATGGGTTTGGATACACTATGAATTTGAGGCAAGAGATATCTCGATCAAAAAACCTGCCGTAAAAACACTGAGTTCAGAAACCACTTTGTAGATGTTGCGATAATAGACAAGCTTTTCTTTAGAAGTTTAACGCTTTCACATGAAGTAAAAACACATTTTCTAGCCTATTCCTGAGCAAGCGCATCTACAGCCAGGGTTGAAGCAATGATGTCTGTAACAGTTCATCTGCGTTTTGTTTCGAATGTCACCAATATGTCCCTACAGCAGAAAAGAAATACAACCAAGTCTGAAAAATTACTGTTCCACTAGGACATACATTCCATGTAACTTAAGATCAGTCTTACTCTGCGAAAGCCTGCAGTTATCAATTTTAGGGGCATCTGTGAAACTAAATTTCTCCCAAAAAAGTTTTCTTTCCTTTATTGATCTTTCTGTTTTGTTGGATGAGCCGCCCAGCTACGCGGTCACCCACCCACATCTTTTAAGTAGCTGGCAGTGTTCTACAACACTTTTGCTTGTTCCCTCATTATAACTAAAGAGCTTAGAAATGCGTAGTAGAAACAAGCTTGTGACGTGGATTGGAGCAAAAAGGAAGAAAACTCTTTTCCTAGTATTTTTCTGCTGTAGTTGCCATAAGAAAACTGAGGAAAGACACACAAAGAGTATGCACTATCTACCTTGAAATACCTCCCGCCTAGGACAAAACCTTATCTAGCACAATTTCCAAGTGAGGAACTATCAGATGGGTGCACTTTTATTACTTCCACAACTATTCTGAAGCCTTGTATTATCACTTATTAACAGTGTCTCAATCAAAACCAAAATAAAAATGAACAGTGATTGCCTTCCATAAACCTAGACATCCTAGTTTCACATTAAGAAATAACTACACACAGCTGAAGAATGGTAAGCACTAAGGAGAGGAAAGCTAATCCAGAACAGAAGGCTGCACAGCATAACTTGGAACACAACAAACTCGTCAGAAATAACCAGCAGACACAGAGAAGAGGAAGATCATGACTGTGCAGGGGTCATAATCACGCTAAGATCATAAACAAACGTCAGTGCAATCTCTCCTCGCTACAAGTGAAATACTAGCTCCTGGTTCCAAGTCCCTTAATAATAACAACCTAGTCTGGAGAGATTAACCAACTCTAATTCCACAAATCAGTTGTGTATGAATTCTTCCCCAGTTCTAATTACACAGTGCTTCTAGGATGTTTTTACTGTACCAGGCACAACTTGAAATTCACTTGAATTCTGGGAAGGAGGCCCTCTTAAGATAGATTCCACTTAATATACTGGACAAGAAAGGCTCAACTTAACCCCGCCAACATAATTAATGAACATCCCGACATGGCACACAGAACAGTAACAACAGCGATCAGCACTTCTCTTATCAGCACTTTGCACCCTCCAGCAGCTGAATAGCACTCTACCACCTAATAAAGCCACAGTACATTAAATCAAATCTTGTCAGTGTGATATTGCATTCCCAAAGCTACAAAGTAGCCAACCTGAAGGACTTCTACCACTTGAGAAAAAATAAAGCACAGAAATTATTCTATTTTCTGAGCTATTTTACCTACCTTGTCCTTGAAGATATGTGAGTTTTGATAGATGAAGTCACGATAGCTTTCTGTACGCACTTTATCCTAGGTTTAAAGAATAAAAACAATGTTCACTTTTTCTACTTACATACAGTACATCGTTCAAAAAACCTGAGAAACTTGCTTTTTAACTTGGCCTAAAGCTGGTTTGTGGCTACTGTACTTAAAAAGGGCTCTGCAATCATGACACTTCCCATATGACATTCTTTCAGAATTTATTGTCTTTGCCAGTGAAGCCAGCTGAGCCTCTGGAGAAAAAATAAGAAATCAGCTTATACTTTTCTGACCTGCTGCATTTGGTTTTGGATGTTTCAAAGTTCTTAATACCTCTTCACCACTTTCCCGGAACAGCAGTGATAGAGCGGCAATACTACATCAACTTTACACAACAACCTTCTATACAATAGTAAAAATTTGAGTCATGAGCTCATAAAATGTTTTGTACCATTTTATTCTCTGACACTCCTATGACACACAGAGATTCCTTCAAAAAAAAAAAAGTTACGAATCAGATTAACCTTTTCTATCTCTGAACAAAGTGCAAATTTGGAAACCTGAGAACAAATTAGTAATTGAAGTTGTACAGCCCATTCTATGGAAGCCCAATATAATAAATAAACTTAACTGTAATACAACATGACCTGAGAAGCTGGAATGTTTACCAACATGTAACTAAACATTTATAGTATCTTAGTATATGATAGCTAGCAGTACAGCTCAATCTGCCGGCAAAGTAATATATTAGAACACTGATTCTCTTAATGTGCATCAGGAGGTAAACAAATCGACAGCCAAGTATAGGTTTTGGAATTGCTATGCAGTTCAAGTGTTAGAGCAAAGTAAAAGAAAAATTTTAAGCAATTTTTATCTAGTAAAGACAAGTCTATAAATAATACTGAAGTATAAAATCCAACTGCTTATATTTAAGTTAACATTTTTCTACTATGGCAGGTAAGAATTTTTAGAAACAATGCGGAAACTAAAGAAATTTTCTCTAGTGAGAAATAACAAAGTCTACTTCATTAGAAAAGCAAGATCAGAAACAGAGACTGAAAACAAAGGATGTGTTCATAAAAATTCTGGAGACAAAACAAATTATTCTGAGGCTTGAAAATCCTAAAATCCAGTTTTAAGTTTAGGAGGATTATCACAGACACACAGAGCCCAAAGAAACAATTAGGGATGATTTTAGAAAATTGTACTTTAAAATTTTACATAATTAACATGAATAAAAAAAAAAATCAGGATCCTTTAAAATTATATTGGTTTACTATGACGTTATTATATTCAGAGCAACTATTTTTAGTACTTCACCCCTACTGCAGTATAATAGGATTTGCTGAAACAACTAAAAAAGTTAAAAAAAAAAAAGAAAATCAGAAGGTTCAGTGTCAGTCAAGCAGGCAGTCAGCTGGAAAGCTTCCAGCCTTACAGCCTGCCCACTCGCATTGCCTCAGCACTGCCCCAACTTAATCAATACAATTCTAGCTGCCGTCTCTACTATACGCACTGCTGCTCGAGTAAGCCACGGTCACTCACTTCAGGTCTCTCTAGTCATCAATTCCATTCTCTCACTCACCGTTTCAATGTAATGCTTTTTTTTGTTTTGGTTTTAGATAAAATGGTAAGGAAATTTATTAAGATGATAGTCGAGAAATTCTTGAGCAAAAAACCAGAACACGGGAAACACTAGCCTTTTGGCCAGTGTAAAGTAGCAATACTCTTCCCCCATTTCTGAAGTATTTGCAGGAAAAATATCCCCAAGAAATTCAAACTTCATCCTACCACTACCAGGTGTAGGAAAAAAAGGTTTCAAAACTGAACAGTGTCAGAAACAGACTTAAAATTCAGACAGCAAGTATCCTTTCTTAAAAGTTTCAGTGTAGCAAACCACTGTATTTATCTAAGGTAGAAAAAAAATAATCACAGTGAATGTCTAGCATATAGGACAAAAATCAACGCACACATGAGAAAAACCAATTGTTTTCCTATGATTAGGAAAGTCAAAAGTCTTCTGAAAAGCATTCTGACTAACATCCTTTGAAACCAATAAAATACGATACTGTGCCAATCTCCTTGTGCAGAGATGTAGAAATATTATAAAGTCTATTAGCAAACAGAAAGGCTTCCTCATCCTATAGCCTATACCACCTCAAACAGCATCTTTACACAACTACAAAACCAAACTTCTATCATCTTTATCTCAAAGACAAATTACAGTTCTCTAGACTATGCATTTTGGAAAACATTCTTCTAATTCTGCAGGCATCTCTGCGTGGCTGTAAAATCCCCCCTTAAAATTAACCTCATGCTTATACTATTCTTGACACAGATTCATGTGTATTTCTACATTGGGGCCACTAAATGATTTATAAAGCAGAAAACTTTATATGCTACCTGTATGGACAAAGTCACTTCATAACTCCATATTCTATCTCTACATTAGGCAGGAATTTTATTTATTTATAAACAGTTTCATCATTTTAAGGTGTGACTTCCACAACTATAATACTTTCTCTGAAAGGAAGCATTAAGAGATTTTGATTTACAGGTCAACTAAAAGTTGCTAGGTTTTATGTTAGGGTTGGGGGGGGGTTAACTTAAAAGGGCATATACAGGTTTGTCTTTGAATAGTTTCAAGCATTATTTTTTTATCTTTACGATAAAAGGAGCATACAATTTTGCCAACTGTTCAATGTCATGTTATCACTGCACTGAGTGAGCTACGCACAAACGCCAACAATTTCTGTTTACCTAGTGCAACAGGAAACGACAATATCTGACAAATGAGTTTGCCTAACAAATTTCAATTGTTAGGAAAACATAAACTCAATAAAAATATTCACTGTCCGTACCATGTTTTATCCTTTATCTTTTAGGCACCCAGGACAAAGCTGCTTTTGCCAAAGTAAGGTTGCTGTACGAATATTGTAACATATCTTCAAGCATATCTGCAGAGTAAATGATTTGTGTTCCTAATGCTTCCCGTAGACAGAATTAATACAAAGGAAATAAAACCGAAAAAAGATCTCTCAACCTAACTCCTAGGAAAAAACTATCACGTATAGAAAGGGTTAAAAATGCAGCTGCTCTGCAGTATATTTACGGGCACACAGCCATAAATGGCTTCCGTCTTTCCTCTTTAATCCTACTAAGATGCAGTTAAGATGACTTTCTAACCTTTAGCATCTCTTCATGTATCCCATAATGCCCATAGGAACTGAAGTAAACACCATCCTCATCCTCATGAAGGTCTGCAATGGCGCTGGACGACGAGCTGCTGCCGACATCTGTGTTCATCACAAAATCCCGTGCAAATTGTCTGTAATCAATTTGAAATATGCCCTTGAGACATGTTTATGGGACCATGAAAAGGAGGCGGGGGTAAGGGGGGAGAAGGGGCTTGAAAGATGTAAGGAATCCATACTGCACAGGGGCTTTGACAACAATGGGACCGGCTTTAAGCGTGCACAACCTCCCTCTGCCGGCTCCTCCAGACTGCTGCACGGCCGCTCTCCATCCATCACCCTCCCGCAACGACTACCTTCGGCTTTCAACCCACAAATATCTATTTTTAAGGAGGAATTCTCTATTCTGCGCTCGCCAGTACAAAAGCTAGTACCACAGTGGCGAACACAATACATGTTTTAGGCTGTGTAATGCAGATACAGACTCAATACAACCAACACCACAAGAACTACAAGCCATGCAACACTGCATGACTAGTGAAAGGCAGAAGTACTTTAAAACCAAAGCACACCAGCGCTTAAAATTCAGTTTATTACTTTAATTCCACACTGCTTATTTTTCTCCCTCCATGGCCTTGCATTCCTAATACACACATTCTCTTCTCATTTCTCAAAGCAGTTTTGGTGACAACATACACAGATCAAGGGTTTTATCATGAAAACACAATTAAAATTTGACAAGCAAACAGCTTACACTATACCCCCAATGAAGAGAAAAAGCAAACATGTTTCAGGCAGGTAATATTCCTCCAAGGTCTACAGTCCAACATCAGCAAAGCTTGCATCCTAGAGCACTCCCCAGCAGCCAAAGCTCACCTTTAACAATGGTCATACTTTCTTAAATAGAAACTTCATGTAGAGAAGCTGTAGGTAACATCTCATTACCAGTATCACCCTTACAGAACAACAAAACCCACAAACACTATTTCAGTCCTGACACGTAAAATACTTCTCTGCTTAACTAGTTTGGGTGGCGAAGAGAAGCTGGTAAAGGACCTCGTATTAAAAGTCAGTCAATATCAGAAACTTCCTATACATACAAGGTCTCATTTTTAATATTGCTCTTCACCATGGCAGTCTGCATTTTCCTTACTTTTTGATAAATACCAAAACTATAAAAACTGAAATTTACAAAAAATAGATTCTATGACATACAATTAAGTGTAATTAGCATCTTGTAAGATTTATACCCAATTTTAAATTTATTTAAAATGGATTCAACCAATAGTTCCTCCAGCCTATGCAGGCAAGGCAAGTACCAAATGAAGTCTAGAGACTGAGCTGCCCTCTTGTCTTTTTAAAGAAGGTAAGTAAGCAAAAACCAAAAGTCATCATCTCTAAACAGGGGACAGATGGAAAAAAAGTCAGGATATACAAGCCTTACTCTTAAATCTCTAAGTTACATCTAATGCTAAAGGTGACCTAATTTATAGAATTGTTATGAGGGTGGAGGAAAAAAAAACAGTCACTAGGCCTCCAGCTACCTGTCTGTACATCGTACCCCTTTGATTCTCATAATTCTACAAGTCTACTCGGTCTAGCAAACTTGGAAAAACACTTCCCCAGAAATTATTTCACAGTCAACTAGTGGGCGTCCTCATACTGTTATTCAAGGGCTCAGAAGGCAACAAACTCCAGGGAGCTGCATGACTGATCCTCAACAGGCAGTCATTAAAAAACCTAAAGTACTTTTTCCACATCTTGAAGAGCAAGAACTACATGATACAGTCACATTGTAACTGAAAGAAGTTACAGTTACTCAGCCTCCCAAGACATCTTTGTAGATTGGTATAGCATGAGAAAACTCCTGGACCTAACTTTTTTTACTCCACAACTTGAAGTCAGCCAACCAGCCTGCTAAATACCGGTATAAACCTATTTCCATGACAAAACCCAGTAGAAAACCAGATAAGATTTAGGTCCTGTATACCACTCTTGCTCCACATCAGGCTTCCAAGCTATCTTTATTTCGCAGACATTCACCTGAAAGGACCCACCTGTACATGGTCTCTTTCAATGGAGTAACCTCCAGCATGGATCAGTATCACTATTCGATTACAGCATCTAGGCTACTACCATGCTACTAGTTCATCCGTCCATAATTTAAAACTGTGTTGCTTCATCAGATCTACATCTGGCTATTTTTGTTGCCAGCTGATCCCTGCTGAATTGAAGAGCCTGCATCGACAAAGAACACTTAAAGGCTCCCTTTTACAACAGCAACTAATTTGATACACTAACCTCAAAAAGAAATCTATGTAAGCCTGACTGAAGTTTAGAGAGCTGAAAAGAAATTGCAACTGATGACCTGAAAAGTTTTTTCTTTCTTTTAAAGAATAAGACAAGATACAGAAAACCCCCAAGTTTTCCAAGTACGATGACAAATTTCTCTCATTCTTATTCTTTATGATGAATTAATGCATAATGTACAGAAGAGTACTGTGTGCTATAAAGTATGATCTGCAAAAGTTAAACCCAGCCCAAGACAAAACTACTTATTTTTGACATGTGTAATTGTTCACAGCTGGTAGGATCTGAAGAAACCCACGAATTTTTTTTGGTATGCTTAGTTACTAACAACATCCAGCATGTACTCCCAAAACATACAACGAACCCTCAAATGTATTTTACAAAACAGGGGGTTTGCTGCTTTACTTTTCCACAAAAGAACATTAATTCCAAGTCTCTTAAATACGATTTCCATTCTTCAGTGCCCAATCAGTGTGACTTTGAAGTGACACGTTCATACGCGATTTAATCTTATGTGACGCAAAAAGAAGTTTATATTCGCATTTTATCCATCAGTATCGTTATTCCATGTTTTGAAGATCTCGAGATTTAGAAGTAGCATGTAGAGCTATGGGGACGTCCCAATTCCTGATTGTGATGCACTGAATATTCTTACTAGCAGAACTCACACCTCAGACTGAAGAGCTGGTTTACTAATTTCACTGAGGGTTTCTCCAAACTATAACTGGATTCTACTATTAACAATCATTGTTTGCAACCATCTCTCAAAATGTTTAGAGTCCCATATTTAATTTGTCAATACCTCTCTCTTCTCCATTGTGTACATCTTCAACGTTTAAACTCATATTTAAAGGACTAACAGAAAAATGTCTAAAAAACAAAGAATGGTCTGAACCAAAATACATGTTTCTGGGCCGTGTGCTTATTTAGCTTTCCTAAGCATACTTTGCTCTTTTAATTTGTGCAGGTTTTGTGCAGTTTTTACTAATTATCAACGAGGTGAAACCCACAGTCCCAACACAAGTCATGAGTTTTATTCTGTAGTTACTTTCTACCACTTCTTTGAATTTCTATTCGTCTTTAAACATCAACATCTCACCTCACCTAAAACACAAATTAAAAAAAGAAAGTTCAAACACTTACTTCATTTTTTGAAGATCATCTTGTGCTCTAGCCAAGGCTGCTTCTGCGAGTCTTGCTCTGTGATCCGCATGTTTTAATTGTTCAAGGAGCATCATGGTATCATTTAAACCATTAGAACACAAAACGTTTGTAGGTTCACAAAGATCATCTATATCTGATGAAAGAGGGAGGAAAACCACAAAACATCTCCCAGTCAAGCGTTGCTTCACAGCAGCTTATATACATATGATGTTTCCAGTGTTGCTGTTTCTGTCTTTGGATAACTTGTAAATGTAGTCTGCTTTACAAGGAGCATCGCTGAATTTGACAGGACTAACCACAGAATACAATACTACTCAATAAAACCAAGTATGCTAGAAGCAAGCTTGAAGTTCACAAAGCAAGTAAATCCAGAGTTCAGATTTCTTTAAATATTGGTGTTTGATTATAGATAAAAGAGATATCAGGTTTCACTCAGGTTAATTACAGTCCTATGCTCTATTTTTCCAGTTATGTTACTCTGAGACCAAGAGAGCTGTTAATGGTAAAAGGTTAGAAGGTATATAAATTTAAAATTTCTTAATAATTAGTAACTCTTAATTGTCAAACTAATTCCTTAGGCTTTTATAAAGCTTATGAACACATAAAACTCAAAAGAGCATAAGCAGAATGCATCTAGGTGAAACACTGCTTTTAACTACCAAAAGTCAGAATCAGCATTAGGTCCCATTCACACCTCTTGCTAAATTCAGCTGGTGATTTCAACAGATGTCAGTGGATTAAAAAACTAGTGCTACTGCGTTTTTGGATATAGTAAGAAGTTACTGCCCACTTACTGGGCGAAAGACTTCATTAAAAAATTTCTATTCCTTTTAATCATGGAAGACTATTTGGCCTGTGGGACTGAAACGAAGCACAGATACTTAAAATAAGATTTCAGAAGTTCAGATCACCCCCATAACCCTTCAGCAACTACAATAGCACCTCAAAAGTCTATAGCTTGGGCATTAGACAGGAGCTGATAAAGTGAAACACCACATTTACCCCACAATGCAAAATATTGAAACGTATTTATTTACCAAACTGAAGTAGGAGATCATCTTCTAGCTCTGGTTTCAAATACTCCTCTCCTTCCCAAGGCACTGGGCTGCTGAGTGAACTCAAATATGCTGCCGTTGGTTTCTAGACAGAAGGAGAGTAAGCAAGCTAAGTTTCTTTGAAAACACCAGCCCTTCAATTCCATTCAAGAAAATAAAGCAAAATCTGTTCTTCCACCCATTAAAATAAATGGGATATTACTAAAGTAGCTTTGTAGCAAAGGCCGAGAGAGATAGTACTTTGAAGCATAACCAGTGAGAACAGTGAATAAATGAACTTCTGGCTTCCATCCTGGCTATGACAGCAAGTACTCACCTTAGCATAGCGACACTACAATAATGGTGACCAGAGAATAGCACAAAACTACACCTATGAGCTACTCCGGATTCCCAAACCCAGGAAGCTACAGGATCAAGGAATTCAAGTAGTAATTTCCTAATAGTAAAGCACCGCAGACAGATAAACATTGAAGGACCCTTTTAGGATTAGAGGAACCAAGTTTACGCAGGTGTTTGACTCTGTCAGACCCGCAGCTTACAAGAGGGCTAAACAATAAAGCCAAGATACTAATCCTGCAAAGTGTTTTTACATCAACAGTGCCGTAGGGACAAATTTCAGAAATGCTGTCTTCTCTCCTGCTTGCATCTGGCCAGTTAATACTTTGTCAGAAATGGAGAAGTCAGATTCTGGACTTCAGTCTTCCCATTTCTGTGTTTACTCTGCATAGCTAGTTATGTCTTAAATAACTGAGGATTTAAGTAAATATTTGAAGATTGAACTAAGACATGCTTAATTACATAAGATGGTATTAAGTCTAAACCTAAACTTTTAAGGAACAACTAAAGAACATACTTCAAAGTCGCAGAATACACAAAATATACCCAGGCCTAACTTAAAACTACAGGGTCCCATCAGCTTTCCTGTTTCTGCTATCGTCTTAGCAAAGATTAATTTTAGATTCTGTGACCTAAAGGATCAGGTGTTATCCTTATTAACAGTTCAATGGGGGTCTGGCCAGCTCACATCCCCACTAAAGAGTCTTTTGTACCAACACGCCATGTGAGGACTGAGAAACGTCAGTTATCGAGAAGTGAGGCAATTACTGCAGTGAGACAGCAGAGTCAAAGGCCAAGATGAATTAACAAAACAGGATACTACATAGCGTGGGCTTTTTGCAAGTCTGAACATCCTCTTCTAAAAAGAGCA